GTCTTGGCATCCCATTTTATTATTTTTCTATTTCTATCTTTTTGGGCCTTGCTCTGCTGCTCCCTTTGGTTGGAACAGCCTTCCAATCCCAATACGCCAGGACCCCTTGTGACCCGGATTGCCTGGGGTAGCCCTCACTGAAAATGTCAATGTCAGTGCAGACTGCAAAAAGAACAGATTCTCCCAAAACTGGTGCTTAACACTGAAGTTGCAAACTATACTCCTGATCCCTTACACTGGTTATCAAGAAGCAGAAGAAAAGAAATCACACAGCCCCCTTTATTGCATTCCAGTTCTCTGGCTCCCAATTGGTGCAGAGGTCCAGTAAAGTGAGAAGTTATTTAAAAACTCTGCTCACTTATACAAAATGTTCTGACCCCAAAGGCCAGCCACATTGCCAGGTCAATAGTAGTTTGGATGTTATCCAAAATACCATGCTGCCAGCCAATCTTTTAGTCTCTAAAACTAAAGGTTTATTATAACGAAAAAAGAAGGAACAAAAAGAGAGTTTTTAAATGGTAAAGCATTTTACATACATGCAAAGACTTCAAAGTCCATGTATCAGGTTGTTAGCAGTATTGGTGAGTCACTGGCTTGAAAGTCCCTCTGGAATGCATCCACAGCTTGGATGGGTCATTCAGTCCTTTGTTCAGAACTTCAGTTTGTAGAAAAGTTACTCCAGAAGTAAGAAGCAGGAATGAAGAGAGAATGGAGAAGATGCAGTCTTTTATATTCTTTTGCCTTGTGGCTTGTACTTCCTTTGTCCCAAACACAAGCTTCACAGCACATGTCATGGAAAAACCTTAGAGTTCTCTGTCCATAGACATGCCTCTATATGTTTTGCTGACTCATTAGGTGTATCCCCAGGCTCCTTTCCCTGGGTTCATTGTACCTCTGATGACCCTTGATGGACCATTGAACAGGCTAGGCAGTGCCGATGCCAATCTGTGTGGGGGTGTACCCAGAAACACAGCACAAGTTTGGAAATACAGATATATGCTACATATCTATAACTGATAATGCAAAGGTGATACAAACATATAAACAAGATTATCATACTTGGTAAACTGTAACATTTTTGCAGATACCTTACACGGTGTATCTGGTCTGATTAATTGCAATTTTATAATATTGGTATCAATAACATCGCAAAGTGTTCCACCCCTCCTTTTTTAAGAATTGAGATCTCTCTTAAAGACTTGTGTTCCACAAAGCTCACATCAGTCACATGTAACATAAGAGAGGAAATAGTGACTGAGAGAATGGAGAAGTTAGCAAACAAACAAGAAAGAAGCGGTACCACCAAGAGTTGCACGTAGTGAACCTAACCAGCCACATTATTATTATTATACTTTTATTCCTCCCTACTTTTTGTTGCTCTTGATAGTAGTTGACATGTCTAAAACTAAATTATAAGTTCCTAGGTGCAGCGATAGTACCTCTTTTTTGTTCTGTAAAAAACCCTAGTTAGCATGCCCTTGGGTGCTGATGAAGTACTCAAGAATGAAAATTGCTACAAGGTTACAGAAATTATTTTACGATATTAATTTGCATTTGAGAAATAGCATGTGATTATGTAGGCAAAAGGCTATGTGGTGATGCATACAGTGTACACCAGAAGGCAGAGTTAAGGATGTAAGTGCAACCTTAATTTACTTTTTTTAAAAAACAAGTTTTGATTGCTTCTTTGAGCAGCCTTGATGTTCTCAGCATAGTTTTACATATGGATTATTCAATAAAATTGAATGTAGCTTTCTGACAGTAAAGTAAAACTTAGTTTTCAGTTTCAGATACTGCAACTGCTTTTTAGGCAGACTTTCTAAAATTGTTGCAATCCAAAATAATTATAAATTTGGTTCACTTCTGATTTCCAGACCAATGTACATCAGCTTCAGTTTTCACCGAGTCCGTTCTTGCTAAGGGCCACTGCTCTACTTGTACGCAAAGGAGATACATTCAAATCAGGAATGGCATGAAATGGAAGATGGTATATGTTGGTAAATTGATCTTTGTAGCATGACACTTATTTGCTCCTTCTTGATTTATTGTCTTTTGAGAGGGTGGGCAAGTGTTCTGGAAACATACAAGTCCATCTACAAGATTTTTTCTGCAATATACCCAAGGTTTCTTGTTTATTCCGTTCAAGATGAAGACGTCTCACTTGCAGTGATAATCTGATATCACTGCTTGTACTTGTGTTTCTATACTTGTATATTTAATTTCAAATGTGGAAAATGTGGAATGAAAATCCTATGTATGGTGCTAATGGGGAGGAAACTTTCATTATTGGACTTACGGCACTGCAACACTGTATTTACAACAACTTTGTAAACCTGTTTTTTAGTGCATGTCTGTTTGCTCCTGAACAGTTAAGTACAAAAGCAAGGTGTGTATGAGACAAATGTGCTTTGAAACTTATCTCAGAACTAGGATTTATTGCATTTCAGGTGCATAGCATAGCTTTTTCTTAAAACTTGTCATAAAAAGCAGTTTAAAATGATCATGCCGATATAGTTACATTTACCGTTTGAAACTTTTATATGAAATATTAGTCTGACCTACCCTTTGTGGAAATATTTTTGTAACCTGGCTCCACTTTGCCTTCAGGTCATGGACTAATCTAGAAACTGCAGCCAGCCATTTCTAACTTCAATTTGTACTCCTGTTTTTCACTCCTTTTCTAACTTGTCCTCTTCTGTACCCTATTAATGCTTCTTGTGTGATTTGCAGAGCTATCCCCACGTCTAACTATAGCTCTTGTTTGGCCTGTACAACCTGTCACTGCTTTTATGTAATTTGGCTTGTGGACAAATTTGAACATTGTAGCATTGTTCAGCTGAAATAAAGGTTCTTCTTTCTCATAAGATGTATGCTGAATTTTCTAGTTGATACTAAACAGCTGCCAGGCTTTCTACAGAAAGATGAGATAGCGTGAAAGTACGTGGATTAAGAAAAAATTCAGTCTCTACAATATTTCTAATAAAAGAAGGTGTTTTCACCTTGTATATATTGCCCATTGCTCTCCTTTTGTCCTCGTGATCATCTAGTTTATATTCTAGGGTTCAAATCTTGCATCTGATGTTTATATTTTATATAGTTTATATTTTTGTATTTCCTTGATTATTGATGCCTGTTTAGTGTTCTTCCTCAGAATCCGGTCAGTTTTGTGCTTTTTGGTGCATTGTTTCCTTTATTATCTCTGCTGTTGGAAGTGAAGGACAAAGTTTTTTTTAATAGCAGTGTCTCACTGACCTTTCAAAAGCAGCACGTAAACTTGCAAAACCTTTACTTAAATATATAAGGCTACTTTGATGTTTGCAGCATTTTCTATATTTAGTACTCCTTTGTATTCTCTATAGTAATTATAGGAGATACTGAGATAATGTTGTTTACTTAACATGTGCTTTTGGAAAGTCAAGGTGGTTGTGTCTTTCTGAATCAGAAGGGATGACAGACAGGTATAACAGAGTTTGGTTTCCTGAGCAATGCCTTTTAATGGATAAAAGCAAGGAGTTTCTCTGTGCATTCTCTCCAATATCATTACTTCCAGAGGTCACCTGGAAAATAAGACAAGGCTTGAGTTTTGTTGATAGCTTCTAACTGGGTCTCTCCAATTCTCCTGGATCTTCCAGATCTTCTATCTTAGAAGCAGGAGCATATTCTCCATCTGGAGTTGAAATTTCTGCAGTTGGCTGCGTGGACCATGCTATACTAACACATTTTGACTTTGATTGCGGTATGTTTTGTTAGGGAGGCATGAATTCCACACAGTACAGTACAGAACATACAGAGCATATCCGCTTCTTTATCTATTTGAAGATCTTCCTTCTTCAGACATCTACTATCAGAAGCACCACTGTCTTGGGACTTGCCAAGTTGAGGGCACTACTTGCCAAGTTGAGGGCATTACCATTTAAATTTTGGGAGAATGGCCACTGTGCTGTCTCTGAAGACCCTATTACTGATATCATTAATGTCAGCCATGAGAGTCAGTGAGATCCAAGACCTATTGGCTGATTCTCCTTACAGTGTTCCATAAGGATAAGATGTTCCTACTCACCTGCTAAATTTCTGTCTAAATAAACAGAGCTCTGAAGGTGATTTTTTTCCCCTCCATTTGAAACAATTAGCCTGTCTGTATTTTATTCCCCTATATTACACATTTTACCAGAAGGGGATAGGCTTCACTCTCCAGTTGTTGATAGGGCCCTGAGCTACTATCTAGATAAGGCAAGTCTTGTGCAAGTCTCCTAGGCTGCTATTGACATACAGGGATAGCTTTTCCATTGAGATTTATCAGCACTTGAAAAGTGTCAAAGAGGCTCATATTTTACATAGAAGCCTGTTACGAACTTGCAGATGATATAGTACCTAAAGGCCTTCAGCTATGTTTTTCCAGGTCAGAAGCACCCTGCCTGAGCACTTTGTATCACAGTGTTGTGTAAGGCTGGTCTCTGGAGTTCTGTGTGTATGTTTAAGCAGGACTACTCTCTTGATTTGACAGTTTATTACAGATCTGCTGTCTCTATAGCTTTCTACATGCCTTCCTCAGATTTTGAGTGTGTCTGGGATTTTTACTAAATGGAAAGGAACTGGGGCCATAGCTGTATCTATGCAGTAACTTCGCACCCGGCATTTGGTTTCTTGCCATGGCAAGTGTGTGACCCATCGTTGCCATCCCTCATGATTTTATCAAGTGTTTCATTATCCGTGGTATTTTTAGTAAAATGAAAGTTTCTGGCTCTGATTGCTGCAGAAAAAAAGCTTTAAAATGTGAATGAAGTGTTCCTTCAGAAACTCAAAGGCAAATAAAAGTATTATTTTTTAAAATCTCATGATTGAACATTTGTGGTAGGCAGTACAGTGACCCCAGTGTTCGCTGCTTTACAAAGAGGTCCACCTTTGTTAAGGGTACATGCACTCAAGAGAGGGGATTTCTACAAGCAATCTAACCAAGAACTAGAGCTGCTGTAAATAACTTCTTTCCTCCTTCCCTGCAGGTTCATGTGTGCTCAGTTACCTAATGAGGTTCTGAAGAGCATCAGCATCATTGATAGTCCCGGCATTCTTTCAGGAGAGAAACAGCGCATCCGTAGAGGTGAGTTGAAGCAGTCAAAGTAATGAACACCTCTAGCAACCTGTTCTGCTGTACTGGGAAATTGGTCCCGCTAATCTTTCTTAAGGGCCTGCTCCAGTGGCTTGGAAATGGTGAAATTCCACTGTGATGTGGGAGACCTGTGTGTAAATTGTCTCTTTTTGCATCTCTATGCTGAACAAATATTACAAAGTCTGTTGCAATCAATGTTTTGAGGTTAGCTGTAGAGATTGGGATCAATGTTCTATTCATGTTGAGTGGTGCAGGGGCTTTTGTTGTTGTGCTGAAATACACCAAAACACTTTAATTAAAAAAAAAAAGAAACATTTTGTTTAATTTTCCGAGTCCATCAAACACAATCCCTCAAGATATATAAAACTAAAGAAACAATCAACAAGAAACTTCAAGTAGTTTAACATCACACTGAATATTTGCTAAAATTGATGATATCTCTATTGAGCATGCAAACCACAACATTTTTCAAAGGCTTATAACTTGCCCAAATTTGGGTGGATTTTCAGAAGAATAGTAAATGAGTGTTGTAGTTCCAGATATTGATTACATTTAGTAGTGTGAATAATGTAAATTATAAATATGTGGATTATAATTATAGGCGAGGCTGATAGCACCGTCTGTTTTTAACCAACTCCCCTGATACTTGTCACCATATTTTTCAGTTGCTTACCACTTTGCCAAACCTAAACAAGCTGGAATTTTCCATGCTTGATGTCTACCTCAGACTGAATTATTTTGGAAAATTTCAGCCAAATGATTTAGCCATTTCGGAGAATAAAGCGAGGAAAAGATAGGTTGCTTTGCCCATGTTAAAAATTTGAGAGCTTTTCTCTGAAATGCTCTATCACTTCCATGTTTTGGACCTGGCACTTGAAATTTGGCAGGGAGGCTGGCTTTTGTGTCAGGGATGCCTCTGTGAAACGGTTTTTGCTGCCCCTATGAAAATTCCACCTAAATTTGGCCAAGTTATAAGCCTTTGAAAAATTGTAGTTTGCACATGCTCAATAGAGACTTCATCGATTTTTAGCAACTAAAATCTCTGAAGATTTTTGTTCTCACGCCTCTTACATCTCCTAGTGCTGACCAGACTGAGCATTCACCATCCCAGCAGAGTGATTGAGCATGCTTCATCCCCTCACAGCTCCTAGAACTGACTATATTGCGCTTGCACCATCCCCACACAGCGACTGAGCATATTCCCTCCAGCCCAGGGCTCTAGGGGTGAAACCAGGCTTTACCAGTAATGGCTGCTGTGGGGTGGGGGGGAGATAATTCACTGGAACTGACAGCAGAAAGTATGTCTCCCCTGTGGTCTCAATGACACTCCTGTCAGTGCTCAGGCAGCTTGGAAGAAGAAGCCATCTGATTAGAATGTGGAGGGGATGGAAAGGAGTAGATTACAAAAAGGAGTCTGGTGAGACAGGGATTGGAGGTAAGGAAAAAACTGGGGCTTGTTGGGCAAGAAGACTGCGAGTCAAGGGGAGGAGAGGCAGGGATTGTGCACTGCAGCAGTGGGGAAAGGTAGTTTAGGAGTGGTTGTGCAAGGAGACTGGTATTGGGAGCCAGGAAAGGACTGGGAGCTGGTGAGGGGAAACAGGAGGGTGGGCCGGGAGTCAGAAGACTGGAGGCAGGGAACACTGAGATATGGCAAGGAGCTGGGATACTGCGGGATGTAGAGTGGCTAAGTCTAGTTGGGTAAAGAGACTAGGATTGAGAGACAGGAAAGGAGAGGAGTCTGAGATCGACTGGACAAGAAGATTGGGACTAGGAACCAGTGTGGAGTGGAACAGGCATGAGAGGAGGGAAGATATGTTTGGTGAGGAGCTGGGTTGCAGAGGGGACTGAAATTGGTTGAGGAGCGTGGGGAGGGAGACTAAGAGTGGAAACCAGTGGGTGGGGAGGGGAGAGACCGATCAAATGAGGAGCCAGGAGTGGGGAACTGGGACTGGCTGGGTAGGAAGATTAGGGACAAGGAGTTGGAGTGGGAGGGGGAGATCTTGGACTGGTGAGGAGACTGGGACTGGGCTGAGAAGCCTGAGCAGTGGGGACTGGGATTGGGTAGGCAAGAAGAATTGGACTTGTACAAGGAGTGGGGAAGAGACAGGATTGGGACAGATGAAACCCCCTGGCAAAATTTCTTATCCCCCTCTAGTCTAGAGAAGATACTTCATTAGCTCAAGTGTCAGAGGTCTGCGCAATTAAACTAAAGGTTCCAACTTTGCTCATGACCCATGTTCGTGTCAGTACGATGCCACATGATGGAATTTGTTTTTTCAGTTTGCTTTTTTAAAAACCTCAGAAATGACATACAAAAAACTTACATTAAAAGAATATTAAGGTTGCAAAGTTAAGCACTCAAAAGTTAAGAAATGTCATGTGGAAAAGGTAGCATGTGTTCATGTAATTAAAGACTGCATCATAATGCATATGCACAAGGGGTTGGAATTAAAGTTGCACAGGCATTTCCTAAGTTTTGAGTGTTTGCCTTTGCCTTTTGTAGTTTATTTGTGTTTCATACTTACATTTATATTGTACTAAGAAGAGTATAACTAGTAAATTCAACTAGCTAATTCACTTAAAATAATCTGCTATTATTAGTAATAAAAAAGTGGAAATGGAGAATTAATACCTGTCCTTTATTGTTCCTCTTTTCGTGGAAGCAGATCTTATAGTAGCTATGAGATGAACTACTAAGTCAATATGGTGGAGGACTGTTGATATTACATCCTGCCAAGTTCCTGTCATCTCTGTTCTGACAGAGATTCTCAGCCATATTGACACAATATAGTCTACATTAACAAGAGGTATCTCTGACTCCTATGAAGCCAACATGTCTATTCATCAGCACATATTGGCTAGTACTGCAAGCTCCCAAATGTTATTTTCAGATATTTTATTATGATATATGCATTGTAGTTGAAAGGGAGCAAACTAAAGTTGTACAAAAAATTAGACCATGGCTTTTTAATACAGCTTGTAGGAGACCTGTCTGCTTTTTCAAAACTACTTAAATAACAAAAAAAAACAAACACCCTCCTACAAGTAAGGTGTCGCTCCACTGTCTAAATGATGCTGAAATGTTGGAAATCTAGGATTAGCAAATATTACTGCTATATATTTTGTAGAAGTGAAATAAGAATAGCAAACTCAAAAACTAAACAGAATAAATTTCTGCAAAGACCAAACGTAGACTTAACATGCCATTCTGGGCAGTGAATAGTCAGATTTGTTTCTGGTAAATATCTTCATCCATGTCGTCACTGGTTTATGATTCTTAAATATGGTAGAAAAAAGCTGTTTCTGAAAGAGGGAAATGAGCAAGAAGTTTGTACAAGTTTTATACTCTATTCTGTAACGCATTGTCTCAAAACTGTTGTAATATCTTATCTGCTAAATCAGTACACCGGAGTGTCACTGGAACATCCTGCATTTTCACTCCCTGTTCTCTCATAGATGGATTTTGTGTGTGTGTATTAAATGTGACCAAAGTGCCAGTTGTAAATGGCAGCTCTAAGGTACTTTTGTTGTTCATTGAACATAGAGAAGGAAGAACTCTGACATGTAAAGCTCTTTGTGTATTTAAAAATAATTATCTCTTCCTTAATAATATGAATTACATTGTGATTTCTTGAGGGTAGCCTAATATTTGATAACCATAGAAATAGAAGTATAGTTTCTAGTGCACATGGCACTGACAGAGAAGATAGATTTCTGTTCCTAAATTTTAAATAACTAGGTGCAGAAAATGTTAACTTTGTGTCATTACATAGGTCAGCTATTTTTTCGGTCTTGCTAGAATGTGGCTCTGCTGAACACTAGTTAGCTTTAGCCAGTTTAGTTGTAGTGTGAACAGGGCTTTGTTCTACAGCAAACCTCCCATGTAAATTCATCCCAAGATTGGCAGATCATCTACTTTCGAACAAGGAATCAAGAATTGGGATTTTGGTGTAGATGCACACGCCAACAAATTCAGGTGTACAAATGAGTAAATAGTCCTTTTATATGCTTGTATGGTTGTGCAAATACACTGTGCTCACCCACATGTATTTGAAGTACTGAATGTTCAGATACATGCCCCACTGTCTGACATAATGACTGCTCAATCAGTGCAAATACAGCTGCTGTTGGGTCTACTTTGAGTATTGTATTGTCAAACATTTATATAAACAATGGGTTTTGTAGAGAACAGACCTGTAATTCAGTGCAGTGCAAAGCCTCTCTAAGCTGCTTCTTGAAGGAGAAGTATGAACAATAAATTATTTTCACAATAAGGTTAACTTAACACATTTTAAACCATATAAACTTGTTGAATGATTTTCTAAATCAGATGTGTACTATTGTGAATGGTATTTAAGATTCCAGATTACTCACGAACTTGTATCTAAAATGTCTTAACAAACAGAGTACACCTTGTAGAAAATGGAGACTGGCCTCTGGCAATGACATTTAAGTTGTAGTCTCCCAGGGCACGAGTCTAACATTTTTTCTCTCCAATAGTTAGTGAAAGTTTATATGGTACACTAGTTGTGTGAGAGTTAAAGCTACTGAGAGTGGCTTTATGCTTGACCCTGGCTTTGTAAAAAAGGTTGCATTTTAAAACCATTAGGAGTTACCCTCTCCACTAGCAAAAGTAAGCCCTTCCCATGCTGATATCATCTGAGCAGAAAGCACTCACTGCAATGTAAGCCCAGGCTTAGCAGAATTCGAGTTAGCAGACCCTGGGTTTGTTAACCTAGGGCTTGAGCGTCTGCACTCATTTGTAATCCCCGGTTAGAACTTCTTGAATCCTGGGTCTCACCCTGGAGCTCAAGCATCTACACTGCACTATGTATTCTTATTCCTTCATAACTAAGTCCTACCCTGATTCCAGGAGACTGGTTAAGATGACGTACTGAGGTCCCTTCTAATCCTACACTTCCATGATTCTATGCAGGCCCAAGTTTAACCACCCACTTCCTTGCACCCTTCCAAAATGTGGCCGCTCTAGC